CTTCCTTCCTTCCTTCCTTCCTTCCTTCCTTCCTTCCTTCCTTCCTTTTTCTTTCTTTCTTTCCGGATTTTTTGAGACAGATTTTCTGTGTGTATCCTTGGCTGTCCTGGACTTGCTTTGTAGACTAAGCTGGCCATCCACCTGCCTCTGCCTCCTTGAGTACTGAGAATACAGGCATGCACTACCATACCTGGCTTATATGTATGTATGTATGTATGTATGTATGTATGTATGTATGTATGTATGTATGTATGTGTGTATCTGTGTGTGTGAAGTTTTGAAGCCTGTTAACAACTTGTTTGTTGGAAACGCTCTGCTTAATTTAGCATTGAGAGTTTGTGTGAATGTGATTCTTTTCTCTTTCTCTTTTTTGTCTTGCAGGCCCCAGAAGAGTTAAAAGAGTTCAGGGTCTCTCACTGGTCACAGAGAGCATGGCCCCAAATAATTAAGTTTTACACCCTCAGAAAAAAAGTCTGCTGAGTTATCTTTCACTGACTCTACCCACACCTTCCCAGTCTCCCCTGACCAAAAGGAAGCAAGTCTTCCACACCGAACAGTAGCAAATTTCACCCCATAGCTAGGTTATGTAAAGGTGAAGTGGTTTTGATGCCATGATTAAGGGCCCCCATGAGCCAACCTCTAGGAATCAGAAAGAAGGGTTATCTGGGTGGCCCTGGGCTACTCTAGCGACTTGTAAAATAAAGGCCCACATCCTCTCTGCCCAAAGGGATGGACAGCCAAAGAAACACACACTTCACTGCCAGCGCAGATTCACCAGGCGTGCTGCGTACCTGTGTGCAGCGGGGACATGCCGAAAGCTCTGCCGCCTCAGCTGCTGCCTGGTGAGACCCCGAGAAGGGGACCTGTGGGTGTACCTCCCCCCATCGGCTGTTGGATAGGGTCGGTCTCAGGAGGCAAAGCTGAGAACAGCTGTGAACAAGGATGCAGAGGTGGGTACAACGGGTACGACAAGCCGGGGAACTGTTTTGGACGGAGCACAGCTTGTTTATTGAAGTAGTGGGGCTAGGTCATATAGCAGGAGTTAGGGGGGAGGGGAGGAATAAGGACTAGGGAGGAAATGCCCCTAATTTGCCTATGCAGACCTGATTGAAGCAAACATTAATGACACACTAATTCAAATTCGAAAGCAAGAAGAGGCGGGGGCTTTTCAAGCCTGTCAGTTAGATTGGCAGACTGCCGGTTGCATGATTTCTGAGAAGCCAGTTCTCAGGTGGGGAAACAGAAGCTCAGCTGACTCTAACATGATGTGGTCCTTGTCTCTACGGAGCTGAGTAGGCTCAGGCATGATTTGGGTAGGAAGTGGCACCAGTCCTGCGTGCTCCCCGAGAGAAGTTCCAGAGTATGGGCAATGCTATACTGTCCCTCATCTGGGTTGGGAACCCACAAGGACCCAGCCAGCCGTGACTGCACTCCAAAGCCCTGGTGATGGCAGGATGGTAAGTATGCTTCCTAGTAAGCCCCTCTGCTGTGGTGGTGTGCAAACCACAACAATCAAATGGAACTGCTTGTGTTGAGTTTTGACAAGACAGTAAATGAGGCCTGGGGCCTGAGAAGCAGGGAGACTGGAACATATGCATCTGGTAGCTGGAAATTTTTGGCCAGAACCACGACCTGGCACTAAAGACACCACAATTCTGTACAGGCTGTACTTCTGCAAGAACATCTGTCTGCCCTGGTGCCTGTGCCACCCTTGCTCTTCCTCTTACTAACAAGGAGAGTTGACGGAAGCAGCTCATGCAAGCTTCGTTTGCTCGTGAAATGTCTTCCTTGCTCTGGACTCTGAATGCGCTCGGGGCTCACAGCTATGGCACTGTCAGTAGGATGCTTTGTTTCCAAATCCGATCTGTGCAGACTCCCCATTGTTATTCTGATAGACAGCAGAGATGGAAAACACACATGTGATAACTAGTGTGTGCCAGTTCCTGGGAACATAGAACCACGGTGCCATTTTCCTCCCAAAGACACTTGGAGTATCGTAGAGGAGACAGAAATGTTAAAGGCCAGAGATTTTTAAAAAAGTGATATGAAAAGAGTCAGGGCACCGAGCTGGTTACCATGGGATAGAGCGTACACAGCTGCCACGCCCTGCCCAAGACGTGTCAGAGAAGCCAAGGAACCATTCCCCGAGAGCGCACTTGTGGGAAGTGGGCAATGTCAGCGTTGCTCTTTTCTGTGGGTTTGTTGGGTGCAGGCGACAAGCCTAGCATCTCCATAGCTGGGAATTCTTCACCTCCTACCTGAACTGAGAGAAGTCTATGTGTGGGCAGTGGGGGAAAACAAAGTCAGCAAACACAGAATCGGCGCTGAGAGGAGAGAAGACGGGTGTTCTCGGGGATGTCTAAGTCTCGGTTCCAGCGGAGCACGGTACTGAGTCTCAATCTCCATCCTTCATAGTGAACCAGGAACCCCCAGGGATAAGTTTGGGATCAGTTCTAACCTACGTCCTGATTAACTAACACGGGTTAAATAAGCTTGCAGTGTGCTCCTGATTTCCGGCACTCACCATGGACTGTTGATGCCTGTATGTCAAAAGAAAACCATGGCGCAAAGCACTCACTCATATCATTAAAGACAAACAAGAGTGTCAAGGTTGGTTGCTTTTTGCAGTCCCAGTGAGCTGCCTGGCTTGCTGGTGAGCATGGCCACCCTGAGTGGAATCCAAGGCCTGGCATTTTCTTGAAACGACGCCTGATGGGCTGATGTGTGCTAGACACACAGAAACACCAGGAATTGCGCTGGCACACCATTGCTGTGACTAGGAAGTTACTGCCCGAGGGTCTCAGAACCTCAGACAGCAGCAGTGCATAAGCCTAAAGAAGCTCCACAGATCTTTAACAGCTCCAGAGAGGTCCCTTCTTCTAGGAAGGGTGGGACTGTGTGTTCCCAGTACTTCCAGTGAGGTCTAGTCTTTAGGAAGGGACATGGAAGAAGCCTAGACATTTGAACAAATCAGGTCATTTAGATCCGTGGGCAGTACCTGCCTGGACTTAGCCTTCCTCCTGCCCAGCTGGCTGGCAGACCTTGGGAATCTGCCCTGGGTGGACATGACCTGCAGGTATTGGTCATTGTTGCTGTTTTGTTGGTCACTGCTGGATGCTGCTGACACAGAATCTGATTCTGTGAAGGATGGCTCAAACTTGGTCTTGACTCTGGCCTTCAGAGGATGCTGTGGGTATTGGGCATTCCTGGATCGTGGCTTTTTGTGAACAAATGTGGGTCTGTCTATCTGGCTTTCAAAACCCTTATCCCCAGATCTGTAGTATACCCTTCGATGGTACTCGGGGTCTCTGGTGTCACTTCCTGATCTGTCACCAGTATAAAAACAAGAAGCCCGAGGAAGGTCTGTCAGGGAGCCAGGGGGCATCAGCCATTGGACCAAATCTCTCCTCAGTGTCTCTTCCTCTTCTTCGCTCATCTGCGGAGAGCAAGGCTGGTGGGGGTCCCATGAAATGTACTGCTGTTCATTCCTGGGATACAGCTCTACAATGTCACCTAAAGCATCTATCTTGAAATGTCTTTCTGGCCAGAAAGCTGGGTGGGTCTTTTTGTGAGAGTCACGTTCCTTAACAACATAGTATCTGGGAACACGGGGTCTGCGGCTGTGTGTCATCAAGGTAGAGACCCCAGGTCCACAGAAAGGAGGTCTGATTGGCTGAAAGTCTTTTCGGGAAAGAGGCTCAGAGCGGACACCTTTGAGGGGCTGTGTCTGTGTCACAGATGAGCGGGATCTGTTTTTGTGGACGTTGTCTGTGCTGGCACACGGCCCAGGTGGATACCTGTAAGACGGAAGTGGTTAAGTAAAAGTAGCTATGGCCTCTGTCTCCCTCTGCATCTCCAGGAGTTACACAGCATCTGGGGGTGATCTGTGAACTGCATCCAGAGAAGCACTCAGGAAGTAGGACCTCACTGGACATTGCAGAGTCCTGATATGACAAGGAATGCCACCCTCCATGGGGTTGCACTGCAAGGCATGCTTCATTAACATAACCTATCACAGAGCACTGGTTCTGTTAGGAACGTGTCACAGGACCAGTGTTTGTCGGGTACACGTTAGGAATACTGCTCTCCTGGGCTAACCTGCCCTGCAGTTTCTCAGGCACTCCCTTGATTGTCTGCTTGGGGGAACTAAGCCCACTCAAAGGACCGGTGATTGTGGTTTGACATTCCTCCCCCCGACTCCCACCTGTGATCTTTCAAGCTGGACTTCTATCCCTCCTTACTTGTCAAGCTACTACAAGGCTGTGAACTTGCTTAAACTTGCTTAAAACAAAATCTCAGGTTCTATGATAGCTTGCAGAAAGGAAAGAGAAAAACTATACTTATCTCCATGGCATCTACTGTGCAACAAAGGAACATAGTTTGACTATGATTTTGGGTCCACACAGCTCTGTTCCCTCATTCTTCTGGGTGCTGTATGAATGCTAAAGGAAACTGAGTTCTCCTCCTTTCTTGAAGATAAGACTGAAGCATTTGGCCCATATAATAACACAGTGAAGGTCTTGCCAATAATGTAGTCTTCTGCGTGTGAAGCAGAGACCATCCACCATTCCAGGACTGAAAACAGAATGAGGCCAGATAGAAAGATAGGGAAGCTATGGAGCACAGGGTGGGGGCGAGGGGCAGCAGGAAGGCGCTCATCACCCCCAGGTGTAACTGGACCTCCCACCAGCCGAGAAGCGGGAATTCCAGCCCACTCAACACTGGCTATGCCAGTTGGGACACGGGGTCCATATCCCTCTCATACATAGATAGTTTATGTGTAGAAAGGAAGCAGCATTAAAGCCTGAATGTATCTGACCTTGGGTAGAGTCTTCTTTCTTTCTCACACAGGCCTGCGAATCTCAAACAAGACTGCTCACTTTGTTTCCATCTGAGGTAACCTGACCTCCTGTGTCCCTGAGATCTACATTATTACCCAATAAACTATAAGCCTCTCAGGTGCTCCTCAGGATCTCACTTAAGTTTTTTCATAACCCTTCGCATATAGCAACTTCAAACCCACCAAAGCCCTACATAAGACTGTTGCAAACAGATGACAATAAACAGCCACAACAACCAAGTAAAAACAATGAGCTGTTGACCCGGGCTCCCCAGTGCAGCTTCCTTCTCCTTTGGAGCGTACCCCTCTTTCACTTAACCCTCCTACTTAAGCCTGAATGAAGATGTCTTTATTAACCTCAACTCTGCTTCATAAACTGGCTTGTCCTGAAATTCTTCCCTGTGTGGAAGCCACGGCATGGATACAAGTTTGGCCTGAATCAGGTTCTTTAAAGTCTTGGGGAACTCCCCAGCCTACTGCGGGTGACAGTGGGGAGCTGTGCCTTCTTCTCCTGCACCTTAAAATGCTGACCTGGGGCATGAACTCTTAAAATGACATCTTATTTTCCCAGGCTACAGAAATATGCATACTAGGCTGGGAGGAAAGCATATTTACAGATTCTATGATAATGTAGGTTTCAAAAATCTTGACCTCCCCTCCCCCACCACTTCCAGATCCTCAGGGTCCCAGCGACCCCTGCCTCCTAACTTCTCCTGGCAGACCTGGAATTTAATGGCCCTGGCTTCCTGATAGTTCTGGCTCACCACTGGCATCACATTCAAGAACCCTGGTTTCCTTTTGAGTCAGAGTTCACGCTCACCTATTGGTCTCCTGCTCTGGCCGTGACCTAGATCCACCCAGAAGAGGAGAACAGGGGCTCCTGGACCCTTGCCCAGGACTCTGGGGCAGGGACCTTGTGACTCTTTCCATCCTGAGGCTCTTGCTACTCAGAGAGTCAAAGTTGACCACATTGCCATTGTTTTGGGGTGTTGCCATGTAAGCTGAGGACAGCTGGCTGAGGAGGTCACTATCCTTTAGAAGCCTCTTGGTGCTTTCTTCATGAGTCTGGATCCGAGCTGTGGGCAGAGGGAAGAGCAGATGACGTGTCTGGGTTTGTTATGCTTTGAACCTTAAATTCCTCACAAGGCCCACAGGCTAAGACTTGGTCTCTTATCTGTTACTTTTTCTGGAAGGTGGAGCCGTTAGGGCTAAGGCATGGTGGTGAGCCCTCTCTGGCTATAGGGGGTCATGTGCTTTAAGGCTATTGTGGAAAACCTTTCTGCTTCTGAGAGGTGGGCAGGTTTGCTTGACATACTCTCTCAGGATGGTGTTCTCCCTCCTACTAAGCAACGGGACCAATGAAGCACAGATTGGGACCTGAAACTGAGTCAAAGTAAACCTTTCTGCCATCCTGGCTCTGCATTTCCCTTCGGGGTGGGTCGGCTCCATTGTGCACCGGGCTGGACAGGAAGGTATGAAGCTTAGCTGGGGTAGATGAGTTACACAGGATCTCTGTCAGTGTTGAGTATGGGGAGAAACAGCCGCCTTCTTCGAGGCAGTTTTCAGTGAAACAGCTCTCTTTATTGGAGGTAAATAACGACTATACAAACCTTGGGGGAATGGGTTAGGGGTTTTGGGGGTGATGTACCTCATTGGCTAGGTCTGAGGAGCTGGAAATGCTTCATTTGCATGAAAAATTCCAGGTGCTAGCTGGACAAGTCTTTATAAGGAGACATGAAGTCTTAACCTGAAACCTGACCACCAGGCTACATGAGTACCTCGAGGATAGCAAAGGTGGGGATCACATGGCTTTCGGGTCCTATGTTTTTCTCTTTTTATAATAATGTGATGTGTTTGCCATTGCAACAGAAAACTCACTGACACAAAGCTGACTCCTAACACTTGAGTCTGCAGTCATCGGCTGCGCCTACAAATAGTGGACCATAGCAACACACACTCAGCCCTTCAAACCATGGTGCTCAGAGAGCTTAAGCAAAGAACGGAGGAACCCAGTGGTGTACCCAGAGACTAAAGAGTACAACTCTGATACCCCCAAGGCACAGCAGGCTGTTTGAGAAAGTCTGTATGGGTCCTGGCTTGGCAGGACTCGACCTCAATTAAACTACATTAATTGGGAACTGATCTCTAACGGATACAGTGGGTTTTATAGCACAAGCCACAGTCACTCTGTGTGGGAAATTGTCACCTGGTGACTCCTCCACATGGAATGTGACCCTTAGGCTTGAGTGTCCTGGAGAAGAGCTCTCTTTTAGATAGTTCACCTTGAAATAGTTACAGGGGCTGGCTCACAGGAATGTTTGAGTCCCATTCTCTTTCGTGCTGGGGCAGGTAGTGTGGGCTGTGCCGGCCGAGTTGTACCAACTGAGCGTTTTGGCTCTTAGAGCACTCTGCTAGCGGGCTCAAGGGGTAGAGTTACTGACTCTTTTTTGAGCTGCACCTTTCCCCCTCACCCCCAAATCTGACCTTCTAGCCACACCAGGTATCTGTTCCCCACACTTCCTTTCCTTTTGGGGGCTCACGTGGGAAAAGATGGGTGCCCAAGAGGACATACGCAAAGCGGTTAGATAAGCAGATTCTTGAGCATTTTCTACTTTACCACACTGAGTTTTCTTCACTGTTTCGGAGCCCCCAGCTGATTATAGAGGTGTGGGGATTGGTCACAGGTCTGAGAGTGATTAAGTCAAGGGCTTGGAGCAGTGGGTAGCACTGGTTTTGCTTTAACGGGCCCAGTGACCTGTGAAACTACAGCACTGGTTTTGAGGAACCGTGACCAGCTGTGGACCCACTGTTTCTTCTTTAAATGCTCACCAACTTAGAGAGCAGACATCTGTATTTTAGGATGCACTTACCCTCTACCATTTGGGCAACCTTCTTCTTATCTTCGGATCTTGCCTGAAATGTGAACGACAACCATTTTGGAAGCAGTTAACGTTTTATTCTGAGGACAGAGAAAAAGACTTCTGTGCTATTATTCACACCTTGCACATGGTGGTCCTACTGAGACAAAACCTTCAGGTTATAGATGCCAGACTTGTTATTTGAGTGAATAAAAGCAAATATGGAAGAGCCAAGGTTTTCTGCCTGATGGGTTTCCTTTAGGGACAATTAATTCATGGGTGTGTGAGACTTGGCAAAGGCAAACAGAGTACCTTGTATCGGAAGGATTTGGGACCTGTAGTGTTTCATAGTCTGTTTACTTTGGGGATGAGACCAACATCTCAACTGAGATTCATTTCGCTTCACCTCTACCGAGTACATTTGGCCTTGGAGATGATTTTATATAATCTTACTATTGACAGTTTTTATGTACAAAAGAGTTTCATGGTGTAGAATTTTCCACTCATGGACTCATGTTGACACTTTAAGACTTTCAGGTCTTGAAGCAGTTCAGATCTTTAGATTAGGGAAGCTCAGCCTGAAAAGGTTTTAGTCACAAAGAAAATACAGATCAGGGAGATGTCCATGGGCAAAATGCCTTGCAGCTGGAAATGGATTTCTCCCTTGACATTTCACAGAGCTAGTTTTTTTTACCTTTTTACATAAATTTGTATTTATGGGAGAAGTTGTTTTCCTTCCCTTACTAAAAAGGGTACAAGGAGGTTTTCCCTTTTTCAAAAACAGGCGAGCAGGATGCCACACTTAAGGAAGTCTGACTCTCGGGGTTATGAAAGGCAGGGTAGACAGAACTCAGAAAAAGACTCCTTGATTTTGGTATCCTGTCCTCCTTTTGACCTCGAGGGTGGGGGATACAAAGAAGAATTTGTGCAAGGGCTGGGAGTGCCTGCCTCAATCTCGTTACTTTAGGAGAGGATGTGTACCCCAAGTAGGAAGGACTCCTTGTTAGCCAAAATCTAAAGGACAAGACGGAGGAGAGAGGAGTGCTGGGGTGCGGGATTCAGGGGTCAAAGTGGACTCAGGTTGGGGGTACCTGTCACCAGTCTATTAAAGTCTGCAGAGGTGCCTGGCATGCTGGGAGCCTGGCTTGGCCATAGGAAGAATGCTCAAGGGAGCAGGCTTGCTCCCAGCAAATGCAAGAAACAACCTGAGGGGATTTGGGGGGTGGTAATTTTGCACCATAGTACACGGCCAACTGTCACTGTAACCTGAAGGTTTGAGCTCTTTTGCACTCTCGTGCTGGAGGGGGTGCAGGCATACGGCCGGGGTTGGCATGGATGAGAGCCGTGTTCGGATGATACTTGCATTTTGGATCTGCATCCTGAGTTGCTGGCTGCTGAGCTTCAGCGACCTCGCGATGCTCTGGAGGTAGTAGATGAGCATGCTGGGATGAAAGGACATGGAACCGTGAGAGGGCTTCAACTGACCCTTTAGCTGTCAGGCAATGGAAGTGAGGGTTGCCAGGGTAGATGTGGGCTACTCACTGACCCTTGACCCCTGAACAAGAACACATCTGCCTTTTCATAGTCCCCGGCCACTGGGAGAGTGCACCTTCATTTTTTCCCCCCTTTTCATTCCCATAGCTGACCCCTTCAAATTCTGCTCCCTGACAATAAAAACAGGGCACCAAAATCAGCAGGCCCCTTGCATCCAATCAAGCTGTGGCTACTGGTTTCACTTCTCTCTGTCAGCCCTAATAAGCCTAAGCTATTCAGCTGAATTACGACATTTCAAAATCACCTGCATTTTTGCAGAAATCTATAACTGTACTTAAGAGTGTCTGCCCCCTTATAGCGGCCACAGTAATCTATCAGGTGCTGTTGAGCCAGTAGCGATGCAGCTGTTTCTCGGTGGCCCGGTGGCTTGTGCTATTCTGAAGTGTGGCTCGGGGGTCCTTGCTTAGATCATCGACCCCTGGAAGTAATTTCTGAATGGGCTAATTTTATTTAATTATTGGACAGCAGTGTGACCAGGTGGCCACACACACAGCTGTTCTGGAGGCTGGGAGGATTGGTGTCCCCTCAAGGCTGGGAGTTATGGCAGACCCTGGAGGTCGGCAGGAATGGCGCCCCCTGGAGGCTGGGAGGTGTAGCACTCACAACAGAAGCAGCACAGCTGGAAGGATCACCACAGGGCTGCTGATGTGTCCAACTACAGCGTGAAACCAGGCGGGGAAGTCATTCTCTATCGTCTCTGACACGATGTCATAAATTTTCTCTTGTCCACTGTGAGAAAGAAAACGGTAACTCCAGGTTTGACTGCTTTGGGCTAGGGAATGTTTCGAGACAAGTAAAAAAAAAAAAAAAATGTTTGGGTGTTTAGAACCAGATCTCCAAAACCAGCCACAAAACCATGAGGCAAATCTCCAAGTGACAAAGACGCCTGACATTCCGGAAGTTCTGTAAAGTAGTCATCTAGTTACCCGCTAAGGCTGGGAATCGCACTGTGAGAGCACACTGAACTTTTCTCTTTTAAGAGATATTTATTATTTATACAGTGTTCTGCCTGCATGTGAGCCAGTAGGCCAGAAGAGGGCACCATATGTCATTATAGATGGCTATGGCCTTTTAAAGGGTAAATGAAGACACCTCCAGGGTTCCTGTTGGAGGCAACAGCTGAAATTTCTATATGGTTACAGCGAGGTACTGGAGACTGAAGGCTGACACGGACTATCTTCAAATAAAGCCTGGCCTCAGCCACATAGATTTTTATACAGCCTCTGTTCCTCTTTCCCTCCTTTTTTTTTTTTCTTCTTTAAAGCCTTCTTTAAGCCCCTCCTTGCTTTCTTTCAAACTCACGGTCTCTTTTTGCATTAATTGTTATCACCTGCATATACATCTATTCGTAAATACGTAAGTACAACCTTCTCAGTCAGTATGTTACCTGCATGTATGTTTTAAGCTTTCCAACAGAGTCTTACTCTGTAGCTCAAGCTGGCCTTAAAGTATTGACAGTCCTCCTGCCTTGGACTCCGGAATACTAGGATTACAGGTGTGATGACCCACACTTTTTGTTTTCTGTTATTTAAAATATTATATTATATTTATATATATTTTTTTCTTCTTCTTCTGTGTATGTTACCTGAAGGGGCCGCAGTTCAGGGACGGCTTGTAGTGGACAATGGCAAAGATGGTCGGCAGCATGCAGAGGAACAGCATGAAGAGGAGCATCGCCAGGTAGAAGTTGTTGGATCTGCAGAAAGACCAAATGTCATGCAGCAGTCACCCCAGAGTCCAAGCGAGTGCAGCCACATAACCCACCTGGGAGAAACTGCCACCTCTTCAGAGGGAACCGTTCTCCTATCAGGGGCCTAGCAAGATGGCTCGGTTGGTAAAGTGTTTGCTGCACAAGCTTGAGGTCCTGAGTCTGATCCCCAGCAGCTATGTAAAAAGGCTGCAGTGGACAGCACACTTGAAGTCCCAGCAATGGGGAGGCAGAGACAGGAGAGTCCCTGGCCAGGCTGGCAAAACATAAGGTGGAGAGTAATTGAGAAAGATGCTTGATACCAACCTCCAGCCTCCACACACACACACTCAGGTGCGCATGCATTTGCACATAGAAGGAATCGCTTGTGTATTGTATGGATGCAACACCTGTCAATTTAAAAAAATAGTAGAAAACTATGGCCTATGGCTGAGGCAGAAAATAGGTAGACAGAAAGGTTTCTGGGAGAGATCCAGGCACACAAGATTCCAGCTGGCAAGATGTGAGAAGAAAGGACACATGGTACCTGAGACCAGGTAACCAGCCACGTGGCAGAATGTAAGCTAGTATAAATGGGTTACTTTAAGTTATGAATTAATCAGAGAAGAGCCTAGCTATATGGCCTAGGTATTTATTTGTAAGTAATAATTGATTCTCATGAATCATTATTCTGGGAGCATGGAGACAGGAGAAAAAACATCTCCTCCTACAATGCTTGCATACACAACAACCTCCCCCTACCCCACAGACACTAAGAGAGAAACAGAGAGAGAGAAAGAGAGAGAGGGAGGAAGGGAGGGAGAGCGCTACCTGTGCTGTGTGTGAGGGGCACACACAGCTTAGAGTCCTGGCCTACTTTCAGAGACAAGCTTCCAGTCATGTTACAAACATGGGTACTTGTAAGTTGTCAACCAAGAAGGCAGTGACCCCACCCCTGCGTGCATGGCTTCTACCCAGTTAGCTCTACTCACGGCAATCTTAGAACTGCTTTCCACCCACCTGGGTCCTTACCTAATGCCTTCTTCTCTTGTTGCTAGCCTTGAGCTTCCCTCTTAGGTCCCAGGAGGGAGGGCTCTGTTAGTTGTGACCCTCGGCTATGTGGCTTGTATCCCATTTGTTCTCATTTTGTTTATTTCTCTGCTCCTTACTGTCAGAGTTAATGTTCTATCTGAGTAAGCCCTGGTGCTTGGTCCCTGAGTCCCAGGTTGGTATCAGCACCTTCAGATGCCCAGGTTTCTCCAATGGTGGCTCACACCAAGTTGGCATTTGAGGCCCTGTGTATAGTCTGTGTGTTTAGTGATACTCAACTACCCTGTCTGTAGGTTTCCCCATCTTTCTCCTTCTCTGCTGAAAAAGTCTTACCCAGAAGTCCTGTGCAGAATGTGGTAAGCAGGCGAGAATGTTTGTACCCTCCACAGTCCACACTGAGATATGGTTGCCTTCGTGAGATCTTTAGAAGGTGATTTGGTCTATGACGAAGCCATTCTCATAAGTGCAATTAGTACAGCTATATAAATTCATTTCATCCCTTTTGCTCTTTTGGTCTTTGTGTTTCTATCACATGGGAAGGCTAATTCTTTCCTCTACAGGACATGGCATTTAAGAGACATTTCATACAGACTTTTAGCCTCCAGAAAAGTGAGCCAAATCATGTACATTGTAAATTGCTCAGATTCAGGTATTCTGTTACAGCAGCTTGAATGGAATTACCAGAGAAAGCATGTGAAGTCCCTCCCTGCCTCCATCCCCTCCCCAAACTAAATACTCATGAATATCCACACATATTTATTAGGAACATAACAGATTAGGTAACTATATGGAAATATATAAAACTGCATATATCTAAACATAAGCATGAGTGTATGGTCATCAGATAAAATGTAAATAGATTGCTATCCAGGTCATGTTAAAAAAGCTTGAAAACCACTGATAGAGCCAGGCGGACACACAGATAATTGCTGTAGCAAAGCACTGTAATCATGAGATTCTAATCATGAGATTCAAAAGGTGCTATGAATTCACCCATATGGATGAAATGAAATGTAGGAAGGAATAATAATAATAATAATAATAATAATAATAATAATAATAATGCTGTCAGGATTAGAGAACAACTTAAACTTTTAAGCAACCGTGGAAACTAATGTGTGTTTGCCTTAAAACTCAGCATTACACTTTGTGGTATACTCCTGACAAAAGACACTTAGCAGGATGTTCAGGGGTGCTAACCTTTACCGTTAGTGGCTGGAAGCAGCTGTGACGCAGATAAAGAAATTGGAAGGTTGGCTGTGTGTATTTCCTTAGTGACGTGAAGCTGAGAAACACAATGTTGAGTGAGAAATTAAAAAGAAAAAGACACAAATGGGCACATTCCACGTGTTTCACATTTTCCATAAACGACAAAACCGCACAAGCCCAAGTAGTTTTCTGTAGAAACCAGACATGACTGAGGGGGAGGAGTGGAATGTTCTGAGAATCACCATGTTCTGCCTCTGTGTGGGAACTGGTTGTACCTTTGTGTTCAGGCTGTGATAGTCAAGTCTGACATTTCTAACCTCTGCATTTTTTTTCCAGATGATTATTAGACATCAGTTAAAAACTTAAAAAAAAAATGAGCCAAGAGCTTCAAAGGAATGAAAATTGATTCCAAGGGGGGAGGGACGCACAGTTAGTGAGGTCATGGGGAAACCACGTGGAGAAACCGCAGGGTTTTGACGGATACTGTGCTAGGGGGCCCCTTGTTGGAAGAGGCGTGCTCAGAGGACCTAGGGTTTCGGCCTCGGCGGTCACAGCTGCTACCAACCTGGACGCCCGGAACACTTGCTGGTGAGGTACGTTACAGGTCAGCACCGCCCAGCTCCTCAGGTACATCAGCCCAATGAGCTTGAGGACATTGAAGGCTGGCAGGCACGGAGAGAAGAAGGCCCCCATCCTGCAATGGCAGAAGGTCAAGTCAGTCTCTGTGTGTCCTCATTCAGGGCTGTGCGCTAGAGGTCTCGTGGGGAAGCAAGGGTCGGAGCCATTACGTTTACACCCTGTCCTTCAAGAACTGAAGAAACCTCTAAGGCTCTGAGGTGGACTCCGCATTCCAGGGGCATGAGGTGTCCCTGTAGCTGTGCTATGGTGATGGTGCTTTCTTAAGTGTTTGTCTGTCTTCTAGTGCAGCAAAGTGAAAGGCCTCCCCTGGGGAGAAGCAGACACTGGAGAACCAGGCCCTGGGCCAAACTCTAGACTTTGGAGGTCCGGGGCAAGAACTCAGTTAAGAAGTTACTGAGTTTCAGAAGGAATCAACACAGGTCAAAACCCAGGCCTGTCCGCCGTTACTCCGAGCACCCTCATATATTTTAGCTTATTTAATCTTACGAAGTTGGGAAGAGGATAGATAACTAAAGTTAACAGATCAGGAGGGCAAGCAAATCTTGGGAAATTAATCAATTTGCTCAAAGACCTATCGCCAACAAAGTGACCCTATGTCTAGATGTGGACACTTTCAAGAGCAAAGTAAGTGCACCGAGAGTGACTACTCAACTACCCCCAGGCGAGCTGGGCCATCCAGCCACGGTACAGACGTCAAATGCACAGCAAAACCCAGCACCTCCACTTTAGTTTAAAATCAGTTTGTGTCGGATATGCGATTGAACCTATCCCTGTGGAATTCACATTTAGTGGCAGGAAAAATGAAGCGTTTAATAAATAAAAAAAAAAAAAAATTAAAAGCAAATGTTTGCTTTCTTATGGCAGGCATGCCTCCTGTGCCTGCCTCGGTTCCCTCATCTTTTACTGCATACAGTGGTGACTGCAGTTTCTTCATAGAGTTGCAGTAAACACTAACTCAGCATTCCAGGGATCTAGAACATTTCAAATAAATAGGACACGTGATTTCAAACGCTAGATTTATGTGACTGGGTTCCCTGTGCATTCCGTGACTGATGGCAGAGGTTGTATTTTCTGAATGTATAGGCTATCCAGGCTTCCTCTTTCTCTTTGTCTGACAGTATTTGGGCCTACAGCAGCATTGGTGGTCCTATAGGTAAAGCCGGAGGTCCTCATCCATAGATACACCATTGAGGAAAGGATGACAGGGTGACCCTTGCCAGTGCCCTGGTTCCCCTAAGAGCAGGACCTGCTTGGCTGGAGTTGCCCCAGCCAAAGAGGCTTGCTATGGTCCTGGTCACCTTGCTGGACGTACTGGCTGTCTAGAAGAGTAGTCCTCTATCTGGGCCTAGTGTCTGCACGAAAGCCACGGTGGGAAATGCCCAAGATGAGGCTGCTCCAGTGTAACCACTGAGTTTCCGACACTTCCCTGGCAAGAAGCAGCCCCTCCCACTGGCTCATCCACCTCCCAGGAAGGCGTCCCACCACTTCCTATGCAAACCCTTTGGAAACTGTGCCCAAAAGTGGTTTAAAAAGGAGCCACCCCTTCTGTCATTCTTTTCTTTAAAAATCTTCAGAAAGTCACTCATAAAATCACCTCACCCGAGAATTAGTCCCTCATCAATTTCCTCTCCTGATGCTGCTTATGGCTTCGTGTATTCATAGGTCTGTCTGGGCTCATGGAAACCTTAGCCCAGGTGACATAAGCGAAGCTGGGAAGCAGCTTTGACCCCTACCAGATCATGCCTTGATTGTAGACGAGGTGCAGCACATTCTCCGCAATCTTGAATTCTCCGTATTCAGGCTGTCGAGAAAAGCATTTGCAGTAAGAACAAAGTCAGAGAGTCCTTAGCGCACAGTGTTCATTGTGGCCAGGTTCTTTGCTCTTGTGGATACTCAGAGATCTTCACCTTGCTGGTTACCCAGCAAATGGTGACATGAATGGCTGGGGCAAGAGCTCAGCAGTTCATGCTTTCTCCTCCCCCTTTACAAATCCCCTTAGGGGTATCTCCGTCTCACTCCCTGGGCCATGCTCTTATGCAGCTCTTTCCTTGCACTTTCCCCCCAGAAAGAAGGAGTATGAGGAGACTTAGGAAAGTCAAGATTTAGAGTGGAGGCTCAGGAGATGTCTAAGGCTCAGAAGGCCCTCCTCTTGGCTATAGCAACATTTCACAAGGAGCTGCCTACAAATTGTGCAGCAAGCTTTGCTGTCATCATTGATGTTGGGGTGGGCATTTTGGTGAAGTAGCTGCCTGAGTCAACCAGGTACCTACAAGTAACCCTTCTCCCATGCTCTTGTAAGTAATCCCAAGAAGCTCATAGTTCACCAAGCTAGACTTGAATGAAATCATTTCTCGGGTCTGTCTCCCTCTATTTAAGATGAGCAGAAGAAGACTCCACAGAAAAAGCATGCATGATTGATTCCTAGGCAAGCCAACAGGAAAAGGTCGATTTCGTTCTAGAACCTTCCCCAAACACACAGTAGTTTACTCACAAACTTGCTTTCAAGGTCCCAACACCAGTAGTCACTCAGGTAGCGAACGAAAAGTCCTCGGAAGAAGTCTATGAGGAGGATGCTGGCCACCGTGAAGAGCATGTCAATGACAGACAGCTTCAGCATCTCCTGCAATACATTGGGTCCTGCTGCCACCATGCCCGCCCATCTTCTCCACAATCCTCCCTGGTCCTCCCCTGTCTCTGTCCATTCCCCGGAGACAGAGCTTGGGGCCCTCTAATGTTTTCCCTTCACACATTTATACAGTACAGTGGCAGATGGAGGGGTTTCTATCCTATGGCTATTTGGAGAGAATATCTGTTAATTTGAGTTTGGGAAACAATATCCAAGGCAAAGCCACTACTAGGCAAAAGTTGAGAAGTTCCCCATCTGTGCCTATGAGGTTGGGAACAGCATCTTACGAGGACCTTGCTTAGTTCTACTCCACAGTAACTTTGCTCTGATCATTATGGTTAATTTTGAGACCTGGAATGTAGAAAAATAAAACCTCACTGGATTCCACATTTCTTTACTATGAAAAAGGGACAGAGATGCTCCAGAGAGTTGCCAGGTTGAAGTGTTGAAGGGACTTCCCGAGGGGCATAGGGAAATACCTGGCCAACATATGTCTCCCAGCACTGGCCTTGTGGGCCCTGCATGTAGGACACCGTCTTGTTGGCCTTTGGGTGTATCATGGTAGAAGTCAGAAGGCTTGTCTCTTCCAAGACCCAGGTGCTGGTGTTTCTCCCGAGTTCCACTCCTGACCCAGACCATTGTCCTTCTTCAGGCACTGTCCTGGTGGCATAGACAGTGGAAGAATCTGTCCAGTGGGTTGTGATGTTTTTAGTAGTAGCTTCCTGTAGAAAGAGGAAGGAAAGAAGGAAGAAAGAAAGGTTGTTTACATGTTATAAGTAAGAATCCAGCTTGGACAAAATGAAGGAGGCCACTGCACTGCTTCAGACTAATCAAATTCTCTCTCCCTCCCTCCCCTATTTCTTTCTCCCTCTTTCCCTTCACACTCTGTATATTTCTCCACCTCTAGTCTCCCCCTTTCTCACTTCTTGTTCCCCTCTTCCCTTCTCTCCCTCTTACCATTTGCCTAGAGATGACCACACTCACAAGACACCAGCTGAAGCAGACAGTGCTCACTGTCCCCTAATGAGTATCAGACAGAATTCTATGGTTCTAGGTGACACATTCATCTCTTTTCAACCTCAAGGGAATTTTAGGTCAAGTTCACAAGGAGACTGGACTTCAGTGAGCGGTAGACGAATGCTCCATACAGACCTCCAGTAAGAGGCAGGTCAGGACCAGGGTCCATGTGACTTCAAAGCCTGCCTCGCTGTGGCTTCTTTGACCTATATGCCCTGAAATTTTATGGTATACTTTGAGTAAATAACCCTCAGAAAGCTCCTCTTTCTGTCTTTCCTCTCCTCCCATGCAGGGTGTCCTTGAGGCTGAGCAGGTTGAAAGGAACATTAAAGCTGCCCTGTGGGGTTGGACCATACACTGACATATTCTGGATGAGCCTATGGCTGTTTTGTCTTTCTGGGGTTATTTGAAAGAGCTGTTGACAGTCTTTCTTGATGGGGACATGAAAATAAGATAGCATGACCCAGGGAGATGTGGAGGCAACAGCCCAGCTCTCATAACAGCACTGTTATTATTATTATTATTATTTAATCTGGGAAATGGGGCTTAAATTTCTCTCCACACCCTAAAATGACCACAGTGGCATGGTTTGGGATATGCCAAATGAGACACTTATATAAACAATAAATAGGACAGAGATGATAAAGACACTGACATGGGGCCACTGTGTGGTGAGCAATGACAAGGGACTGTCCAGTCTGGACAGCGATGGGTTTGGGCTGGTCAATCTAGGCCTTGCTATTGGGTAACCATCCGTTCTAGGCAGTGGTAGCAGGTGGCTTTCCGACCTGGGCAGTCGTGGAAGGATGACTAGCTAGTCTGAGCAGTGATGGCAGGTACTATAGCATCTAAGCAGCTATGCCAGGCAATATCCAGTAGTGACGGAAAGTACTGTCCCATCTGGACACTCACCTCAATGTTCATGCTGTTCACTTTGTCCAGAAGAGCAATGATCAGGCTGTAGAGATTTCCTAGATACAGTACCAGGACCCTGAAAACCACAAGCTGTCATGAGAAACAAGGTCACCATACACAGGACCAGCAGTCTAGAGCTACTAGAGAGTTCTAAGCCATTGTGGACATAAGATAGTGGTGGCTGCACGGGGCTTTCTTAGAGTTACCTGGATAATGCTGAAAAGCCATAGGTTATAGGACACGTGAGATAGCTGAGTGGTTAAAGACACTTGTTGGTCATGCCTGACCTTTGGTTTTGATCTCCAGGAGACACTTGGTGGAAAAGAAAACTGTTTCTCACAGGTTGTCCTCTGACCTTCACTTGGATCACATGCATATCTCACACACACACACACACACACACACACACACACACACACACACACAC